ACTTCAATGTTTGACCATTCTTTTTGTTATTTACTTCATTTCCAAAATACTCATTTAGTATTTTCTGATTTCCTCAGAAGCATAAGTAGATTCAATAGTATCTGTGCCCTCTCCTAATTCCTATGTTTTAATTGCAAGATTTTTTGCAAAACTGCACATTTTGCAGTCTCTCATCATATTGGGAGATTTTGCATTGTTATGTCATTCTCATATGGTCCTTATATTTAATGCCTTTCTGGACTATGCTACCCTATTAGAATTCACCTTAATCTTCTGTATCTTCATTCTTTAATTTTACTCTTTTAAATAATAATTGATGCAGAGGGCTTATAATAAAATAATACAAATGCTTCCGAAGAAATGATAGTAACTTCATTAAAAATAGGAAATTTTACCTCCTATAACAAATTATTTCACCCTATTTATTATAAATCAGTCGCTTTGTCCTGATTTATTAAACAGGTGCCCTATGGAACATGTTTTATGGAATTTCACTCTTTATGTAATATTTCTCTTCTTACTGATTGAATTCAGGTAGAGAGAGGAATATTCGATCAAAACCCTTAGTCCGATAGGGGGATAGTATACATTCAATCCGAAATAATTTTAAAATATTATTACTTATATCTACCTTTTCTATTTTATAGCAACATAGATATTTATTTTATATCCTACCATTGAGGCATGGAATACGACAATTATGTTCTCTCTCTCTCTTCCTTCTCTCTCTATCAGCAAGATTCTCGATCCTCTTCTCCCTCAAACATAATATGGCCTTTTTGACATCTCAGATTCGGTTTGTTGTTAAACTTACCCAACTTCTAGACTAGAAGAAAAAGTAATATTAGCGCTGCTACTTTTGTGCTACGTTCTCAGATCAACATTCTCCATCAACTCGCATCCAAGCGGCTCGCTGACTGCTGGCGAACAGATCTAGCCATGGCTATGCCGGAGAGGATTTGAGAGCCGGATTTTTGTTCGTATCCATTTTTAGTTTTAATATAATGTATACAGTATTTTGCTTGGTCGGAATACGCCATATTCGACGAACTTTCTTCTTTTCTTTGTTATTTAGTCAAACACAATGATACAAATACATTGTATTATGTACAAATACACTCAAACACATTATAATTTTGTATAAATACATTATTTTTTTGCCTGTATTTATGTATACCGAAGGTCTGTATTTTGTTTAATACAACTGAATATCACTGTGTTTTGTGATTTTTTGTTGTTTGAATACAGTCGAATTGAATACGGTGAATTGAATACAATGCATAATAGTGAATAATGAATATCTTGATTACCTCCATTTCTTGATTACCTCACTATATTTATAAATACAATCGCGCGAATACATGAAATGTAGCACAGTAGCAGCAAAATTTATGTAGAATTGATTTTGTTGAGTTAAATTAGGAGTAATACACGCTAATTGATCCTCTTTCCGTTATTAAACAGCTGGATTCCCCTATTTTTAGGCGATACAGTAGCTCGAATACATCATACACAGCCACATAGCAGGATTCCCCTATTTTTAGGCGAATTCTGCTACTGTATTTATGAATACAGTAGCGCGAATACAACGAATACAGTCGCATAACAACTAAATAGTAGCTATAGAAAGTAATTTTGTATGTGGTAATTATCGAAAAGTAATATGTAGCCACTAACCAATAGTGGTTTCTGAAATTGGAATTGCCATCTAATCACAAACATTATACTTATTAAATGCGAAGTTTGGATCAAATATGACTAAAGACTAAATTCGAGCCATAGTATCTTTAAATCTTAGATGTGTACTAGCCAGGGATGCCTAGTTGGATCTTCCCTATTCTCCTGTAAATTATGTGTGAAGAAAATGTAAAGTTTCTAAAGCATACCAGAAAAGTAGCAAATATTCAGTATGATATTGCTTAAACAGAAACTAATAAAAAAAATACAAAAATTACGTTACCATTAAATATCTGACTGAAAAATCTATCTGCTTAGAACCTTCCAGGACAAGCTAAACGGCCAGGAACGGAAAAAGAAAAGAAAACACCCGAAGCTAATTAAAAATCACACAAAAATAATGTATGGGTCAAAATCAGATCGGAGAAATTTGACAAGCGGAGACAATTGTCATGAGTAACCTGCGAATACGAATTGATCAATAAGGCCGAGGCCGAGCAATGATCTATAAGGCCGAGGTCGATCACTGATCAATAAGGCCGATGTCGAGCACTGATCTATAAGGCCGAGGTCGAGCAGTGCAGATAGATATAACAACTAGTTTTGCTTTGGAATCTTCAAAGGGAATATTCTACTGGATATTCCCTCTCATTGTACTTTTTAGGGTTTTCTAGGGATATCCCTTGTGAAGAGGAAGAGAGGACTTCTCAAGAGGGGGGCAGACTCTCTCTCTAGAAAATATATAAACACCTCTCTCTAAAGAGATTAGAGGATCTGTGATCCCATACCCTCCATCAGATCCAAAAAGGGTCCTAAGATTCTTGTATTTGTCTATCATTCATCTTTATCAAATGAAAGAGGATCCGCCTCACTCAAGATTGGCGAATCTTTTTCTTTATTTATATTTTGTTGCCATTTAATGTTACTTAATGCACCTTTTTTCATGCTATTAAATCTGGCCATAATCACTGCCAGCATTTATACTCAACTATATTTTTCTATTCATGTTATTCATCTCAGATCTAGAACTAATTATACTTAACTAGGATTTACCCTCTATCTTCTTATTTAATTAGTCTAACAAAAAGGTCTCATACTTTTTTGGTCAAACAATTTGGCGCCGCTTGTGGGGATTTTCTAGTTAAAATTTTAGTTTTCTCTAGATCTCTAAAAATCAATTCTTACCCGCTTTCTCTTTCTCTATATACATAGCCTATGTACTTGAGGTAGCATAGATTACTTCTGCTTAGGCATAATATATATTGAAGTACTTTTTGGATACTTAACATAGAAGACTGGTTTCTTTTGAAAATCTTTTGTGATTATTGAACATGATTGAGTACTTCAGGTTTTACTACTGTAAACACTTTGCTTATACAAAAATGAAATATTCTCTTCCAAAACTTGTTGTTCCACAATTAACATAGTGAAAATCAGCTAATTTTCTTATTCAAAGATGTTTGGTGGGAATCTTGTGGAGGATACTCTAAGCTGAAATGAATGACGTTATTGAGTTTCTTAAAGTTTTTAGGGACTTGTTTTAATAAAATCTCAATAGCCTTTACTGGTAAAATAAGTGCAGCAGCTTTCTCATCAGATTGTGTTGCGTTTGGTCCTTCGGCCACTCTACAACTTTGAAACAATTAAACATGGATATATCTAGGAGTGTTCGTTGTCAATCAAGTCACAGGGACTTTCCAAATCAAGGAACAAATAAGTAAAAATACCATGCCGAGATCTGCAAGCCGTTACCCGAGTTCGACGAATGCCAGCTCAACCAAATCTCTCGAGCACAGATTATTGAAGTAGACGGCCTTGCCAAATTGGTAGCGACCACTAAAAGATAACCAGAGAAGGGAACGTGGTCACTCCCCTCCACTCGTCGACCGATCAAATCGAGGTAACGAACGATTTCATTTGGTTTTAACTGACTGTTCTTCTAAGTGGAATAGAATAAGGAGCTTTCTCCCAGATACGCGAACAGGGAACGATCGTCGTCAAAGCAAATTCGAAGATGCCAAGAGACCATATAGACTGCGACTGAACTGCTAGCCCAAAAAACATGTAAATCTCTCTGATATATGTAGGCAAAGCATGAGTGCATGAAGCTCACCCGCATTTACGCTAAAGCGACGCGGCATCAATTAAAAAAGTTATATTCGACCTCGCCCGAATCAACCCTGCTCGCCCGAATTCACATTCGGCCTCCTCGCCCGAATTCACATTCGACCTCGCTCGAATCAACATTCGGCCTCCTCGCCCGAATTCACATTCGGTCTCCACGCCCGAATTAACATTCGGCCTCCTCGCCCGAATCAACATTCAACCTCGCTCGAATAAACCCTCGGCCTCGCCCGAACCAACATTCGGCCTCGCCCGAACCAGCATTCGGCCTCGCTCGAATCAACATTCGGCCTCGCCCGAACCAACATTCGGCCTCGCCCGAATTAACCTACATTCGGCCTCGCCCGAATTAATGCTCGGCCTTGTCCGAATCAACGCTCGGCCTCGTCCGAATCAACGCACGGCCTCGCCCGAACCAACATTCGGCCTCGCCCGAACTAACACCCGGCCTCGCCCGAATTAACACCCGGCCTCGCCCGAATTAACATTCGGCCTTTCCCGAATTAACATTCGGCCTCCTCGCCCGAATTCACATTCGGCCTCCACGCCCGAATTAACATTCGGCCTCCTCGCCTGAATTCACATTCCGTCTCCTCGCCCGAAATAACATTCGGCCTCCTCGCCCGAAATCACATTTGGCCTCCTCGCCCGAATTCACATTTGGCCTCCTCGCCCGAATTCACATTCGGCCTCCTCGCTCGAATGACATTCGACCTCGCTCGAATTAACATTCGGCCTCCTCGCCCGAATTAACATTCGACCTCCTCGCTCGAATGACATTCGACCTCGCCCGAATTAACATTCGGCCTTCTCGCCCCAATTCACATTCAGTCTCCACGCCCGAATTAACATTCGGCCTCCTCGCTCGAATCACATTCGACCTCGCCTGAATTAACATTCGGCCTCCTCGCCCGAATTAACTAGTATTCGACCTTGCTCGAATTAACTCTCATTCGATCTCACTCGAATTAACATTCGACCACCTCAGCCGAATTAACATTCGACCTCGCTCGAATTTAATTTGCATTCGACTTAGCTCGAACTTGATTCATAGCCAGACCTCGTTTGAGTTAAATATGGCAACGTTTGACTTCGTTCGGACTAATCTAAGACACTCAATCACGTTCGAATTAACACCTACCAGCGGTTCCTTTGAAACCATCAATCGAGGAAAAGATTCAAGGAAAAGAAAATTAGAATCAGGAATAAGCAGCAAGAGTAGCATTCCAAATCAAAAGAAGTATCAAAAAAGGCATCTTGGGCTGAATCGCCCGTCCAGATCTGAGGACGCGGATGACCTCCTCCGATGCTTCCATCCTTGCCAAAGCTGCCATCCTGGACTCGTCGGCCTTCTCCAACTCTACCGTCTTCTCGATCAACTCATCACTCGAGTCATTGGCCCTGATCGAACTATGCTCAAGTTCAGCCCGCGGGGATACCACTTTAACCTAAAGGTCGGCACCCTCAGCCGCGATCCTCACTAGCCGACCTCCCTATCCGAATTTCTCGAACTATGATTAATGAAGTCCACTCACCGAACTCGACCAAAAGACGACCTCGATAAGCGGAGGGGCTAACTGTATGGGTCAAAATCAGATTGGAGAAATTAGACATGCGGAGACAATTGTCATGAGTAACCTGCGAATCGAATTGATCAATAAGGTCGAGGCCGAGCAGTGATCTATAAGGCCGAGGTCGAGCAGTGATCTATAAGGCCGAGGTCGAGCAGTGATCAATAAGGTCGAGGTCGAGCAGTGATCTATAAGGCCGAGGTCGAGCAGTGATCAATAAGGCCGAGGTCGAGCAGTGATCAATAAGGCCGAGGTCGAGCGGTGATCTATAATGCCGAGGTCGAGCAGTGATCAATAAGGCCGAGGTCGAGCAGTGCAGATAGATGTAACAACTAGTTTTGCTTTGGAATCTTCAAAGGGAATATTCTACTGGATATTCCCTCACATTGTACTTTTTATGGTTTTCTAGGGATATCCCTTATATAGAGGAAGAGAGGACTTCTCAAGAGGGGGGCAGACTCTCTCTCTAGAAAATATATAAACACCTCTCTCTAAAGAGATTAAAGGATATGTGAGCCCATACCCTCCATCAGATCCAAAAAGAGTCCTAAGATTATTGTATTTGTCTATCATTCATCTTTATCAAATGAAAAAGGATCCGCCTCACTCAAGATTGGGTGAATCTTTTCCTTTATTTACATTTTATTTCCATTTAATGTTACTTAATGCACATTTTTTCATGCTATTAAATCTGTCCATAATCATTGCCAGCATTTATACTCAACTATATTTTTCTATTCATGTTATTCATCTCAGATCTAGAATAATTATACTTAACTAGGATTTGCCCTCTATCTTCTTATTTAATTAGTTTAACAAAAAAGTCTCATACTTTTTTGGTCAAACAAATAACACACATCCAAAACAAGTCACAACTATTATCGACCAATCATTTGCGACATAATAATGCTAAATTCATCTCTAAAATACGGAAAGAATACCAGTAGTCACTAGTCACAAGTCTACAACAACGACAACAACAACATATTCAGTATAATCCCACATAGTGGGGTATTGGAGATTGTAGCTAATTGGAAGTGAACCAATGACCTTACAAAATTTGAACTCCCTCGACCACTAAGCTATTCTTTACTATTCACAACTCTATAGTAACTAAAATATTCATGTGATGACCCAAAAGCTCATCTTTTGTTTTAGAATCTATTTCCATGTTCTGAGGCCTTGAAAACCTTCTTTTACCTCTCCTCTATTTGCGTGCATAGTCCGAGCGCATTACCGGAAAGCCTTTATGTGAAATTTAAGAAAAATAGTGAATTTTGCCTTTAAAATTAATTAAAGTTGACTTCGGTCAACACTTTTGGTAAACGGACCCGGACCCGTGATTTGACGGTCCCGTAGGATCCGTAGTAAAATATGGGACTTGGGCGTATGCCCGGAATTGAATTCCGAAGTCCTTACCCGAGAAATGAATATTTGAAGAAAATTGTTAATTGAAAAAATATGATGGTTTTTGGAAATTGAATAATGTTTGATATTGTTGGTAGCGGGCCCCATATTTTGGTTTCGGAGCCTGGTACAGGTCCGCTATAATATTTAAGCCTTATATGTGAAATTTGGTGAAAATCGAAAGTGGTTTGATGTAATTCAGACCCTTGGTCGAGAAAATAGGAAATTTGAACTATCTTGAGAATTTCATGCGTTTTGGTGTTGAATTCATAGTTCTAGATGTTATTTTGGCGATTTGATCGCGCGAGCAAGTTCATATGATGTTTAATACTTGTGTACATGTTTGGTTTAGAGCCCGAGGGCTCGGGTGAGTTTTTGATAGGCTTCAGAGTGTTTTGGACTTGTAAAAAATGTTGCAGGTATTCAATTCTGTTGCAGGCCTCTGATATCGCAATTGCGAGATCAGGCTTCGCAAATGCGAGCACATCAGGCACGGAAATTGCGAGGGCCTCATCGCAATTGCGAAGAAGGCCCGGGCAAGTAGAGTTCGCAAATGCGAACAAACCTTCGCAAATACGAAGGGAGTCTGGGAAGGGAAAGGATCGCAAATGCGATCTTTTGTTCGCAATTGCGAGGTTTGTGATCGCAAATGTGACACTTCCCTCGCATTTGCGAAGGCAACAGGAATTGTGAAGGCTTTGCAATTGGGATAGCCCTTTCGCAATTGCGACATCTACAGCTGTTAAGTTGGGACTTAGACGGGAATTTCACCCATTTTTCAATTCTCTCGAACTCTAAACCCCCATAGGCGATTTTCCAAAGACCCAAACTTCTCCAAATCATAGGTAAGTGATTTCTAACTCATTCCATTCAATCTATTTTATCTTTTTGCATGATTTCATCTCAAAATCTAGGGGTTTTCATGGGAAATTGGGTGTTCTTGGGTAGAATTTAGGAATTTTGAAATTTGGGATTTGGACCTCAATTTGAGGTCAGATTCCGAAACCAATTGTATTCGGGCTCGGGGGTGAATGGGTAGTCGGGTTTTGGTCCGAACTTCGGGTTTTGACCAAGCGGGTCCGGGGTCGATTTTTGACTTTTTGGGAAAAATGCTAGGAAATCTATAATTGTGTATAGGAATTGGTTTCTTTAGCGTTTATTAATGTTATTAAGTTAATTATGGCTAGATACGAGTGAATTGGTGGTGGAATCGAGAGGTAAAGCGGTGATTGAGCCTTGAAATACCCGTTGGCTTGAGGTAAGTGTTTGGTCTAACCTTGACTTGAGGGATTAGGGATCCCCGACTTGCTTGCTATGTGAGATATCATGTGTGTGGCATATAGGTGTGGTGAAGAGTACCTATGCGTTGCCAAATTACTTGTTTAGCCTGTTTGCTTTCCCCGTTTCCCTATATCTTGTTTTCCTGCCTTAATTGCTACTTGCTCATAAATGTTTCCATGTCTAATTGCTTCATATTAACTGTTGTTCTCTTTATTGAAGTATTTAATTGTTTCATGGTTACGTTTTATTACCCTATTGGCTTATATTGATTTATTGGTGCCTTATGGTGCACCTTGGTTGGTCTCGCTGAGTAGTTTTCACTGGTGAAGGTTCATAATCGTAGTGATATTCCATTGTGTGGATTGAGGTATAAGTAATGTGGAGGATTTGAGTTAGCTTTTGAAACACTTGTCTTTAATTCTTTTATGATTGGTGTTGATATATATATTGGGATCGGGTTACACACCGCAACAGGAGGAATAAGGGTGAAACGTGATTGTCTGGGGGATCGGGTTGCACGCCGCAACAAGGAGTAATAATGGTGGACAGGTGGGATCGGGTTGCGTGCCGCAACACGAGGAATAACGGTGATATGTGTTGAGGAGTAATAAGGGTGGACTGGTGGGATCGGATTGCACGCCGCAACAAGGAGGAATAAGGGTGAATATTGATACTGTTATTATTTATATGGTGGGATCGAGATGCAAGCTGCATCAGTTATTATTTTAAGTATTCATTTCTGCTGAAATTCATTACTGAGATGTTGAAACTCCCCTTCTATCCTATTTCATTTCTATTTTATCTACTTTCGAGACAGATGTAAACTTTTCGTTTAGACCATTATTTGTAGTATTCGTAGACTGTTCGTGAGTTGTGACACCAGTTTCGGATGGAATTTATTTCGGTTTTTCGTTATTAGCATTAAGATAATCTTTTAAACTGTGTTCTTTCGCATTTATTTCCGCTAGTTTACTTTTGTTAAGTTTAAATCATTAAAAGATAAAAGAAAAAGTTGAGATATTCTGTAACGTTGGCTTGCCTAGCGAGTATAATGTTAGGCTCAATCACGGTCCCGACGGTGGGAAATCCGAGTCGTGACAATTCATGAAACTAACTAATTATTGACCGGCAGAGTGAAAAGGTGTAAAGGAAGTACAAAGTTAGTAACACTTTTGCCAACGCGAACCAATCTGTAGCTCACCAGAACTGCTAACTCCTACACTCTAGCACAGGGGTGGAAGCAGTGTTATCTGACACCGCTTCGCTGGAGAAAATATTAAGTATTTATACTAATATACAGTAAAACTGAAGCAATATAATGACATCGCTTCTTGGTAAATAGTAATTCTTGGTCCATTGGTCAAGCTCATATTTGGGCTTGTTAAAAGTCATAAGTTTGAGGTTGGACCTAGACATTCTATTTGTTGAACATTTTTGAGTGAATATTTGTTAAAAATTTGAGGCTAAGGAGAAGTAAACCTACACCTCTCTTTGCAATAATATTCAACTAAACCAGATTTTCAACTCGCGGGAAAATGATATTAGATAATACTTATTTATTTATTATTATTTATGTAAATACGATATCGCTTATAAAAAGTTTTGCGTACACCCCTGCTTTAGTTAGCGAAATCATCGTATGGGCAAATTGTTCGAATGGGTTTTTAAGCTAGTCAAATCAGCTTTTAAACACTTTTTAGTTATTTTTAGTGTTTGATAAAATAAAAAAGTGCTTAAAACAAGCCAAAAGCTATAAGTTAGGAAATCCCAACTTATTATTTTTTAGCTTTAAAGCTATTTTGATTTGACCAACTAATTTACCACATTGTCCATTACACTTTTTGTAATCTCTAAAGAAACCCTTTCTGAAACTTTTTCAAGATTTTTAATTTTCACTTGAAGATAAATTTTGAATTTTTTCAAAAATTTGAAAAACTCCAAAAAGCTGTTTTTCAAAATTTTCACTCAAATCAGTCACAAAACTTTAAAAACAACCCAAAATTATATTTATGTCCAAACACAACTCTAATTTTGAAATACTATTTCACTTGAAAAAAAAATTCACTTTTTTTTTTGTTGAAATTTTACAATTCTTACGTCCAAATACCCACTAAGTATGTGTTTTTTACCTCCAAACTCCAGTCAAATTATTTATTATTGTATGTTATTATAAATAATCTATCTTTACTAAAAATAATTTTATCCAATCAATAACTTAAAGTGAATTGAGAGACAAATTAATTTATATGTGACTTAATTTAATATTAAAATGTTTCAAATATAAGTTCATTTTTAGTTTTAACACTTTAAGGACATTTAAGTCATTTTATAGAAAAGTGTTAATAGATACTTTTTACCAAACAAATCGGCTGCTTATTTTTAGTTTCAGTACTTGTATCCAAACGCGTAACTGTTTCTATTTAAATTCAAAGCTCAAGTGCTTAAAAGCTACTTTTATTCAGCTAATCCAAACGGACACTATAACTCGGTGAGTAATAACTTTAGGGTAAAAGACACAGTTACCTACAAAAACAAAACTATTTACCCTTACCTACTCATTTATTTCTATCCATCAAATTAATTACATTTCCTACCCATAGTAGTTTTTGTGGGTAATTTTCTCTTTTTTCTGCAATTCATTTTTATTTTTATGCTTCTTTTCTTTTTTCCTTTTTTCTTTCTTTTCTCCTTTTCTTTTTTTCTCGTTTTGTTCTTCTTCTTCTTCTTCTTCTTCTTCTTTTTTCTTCTCTTTTTCTATTCATTTATTTTTGCCCAAATCGTATTATTGTTATTTTTTACCATAACTTATTTCACACTCAATTTTGGCTCCTTCTTTATATATTTTTTCTTTTTATTTATTTTCTTTATTTCTTGTTCCTTTTCTAATTCCATTTAACTCATTTTTTCTTTTTATTTCTTTATTTCTTGTTCTTTTTCTAATTTCATTCAACTTCTTTTTTTTATATTCTTTTTCTCTTCATAATCTAATTTCATTTACTGTTTTTACTATTTTTTTATTATTTCTGTTTTCACACAATAAGAAAAAATAACTGATCTAGTAAATATTGTTCACCTTTTTTTTTAATATAATTAGTATAATACATCTTTTGTCTTTTTCTCATTTTTTAATTCAATTATTAAACTGAAATAATATCAGTGGTCACTTGATCTAATTCACTGAATATCACACTGACTGCTGTGAGCGCCATAAATTAAATAATCAGATTCTAAGAATCAACACGTGGTTGCCATGCAAACCTTGATCTCCTTCCCTACAAATATCAGTATACACTCTACCATTAGCAGTAATACAACCAGTTATGGAGCAAGAAAATATAATCTACGGCCACCAAATCTCCATATATACTAGTTAGAATATAAATGATAATAAAATATTAAAAAATTCAATAAAAGTATAAGTAGCAAAAAAGACTTGTAGTACCATATGATACCAATATGGTATACATGTATACCAACATAGTATATGCTCGCTCTAGAATATTACTACAACTATCTATGACTATACTACTGTACCAAAACATTAAAGGATGCAATAAAAGTATGAGAAAATTACATGCTCGCATTTCAAGCTAAATATTCGCAAAGCAACCTGCTCATTCCATATACTAACAAGGTATATAATTGTATGGGGTCGTTCCAACAAGTGCCTATAACTATATAAACTATTACATAATACATATAATCTATGTCCGTCGGCAACAAAAAATTCCAGCACTGCAAATCATGTTCATATAAATAATTTCAGAATAGAATTCACTTAAAAATGCAGCTAAAACAACCAAAAAATGTTCAAACTACTATATGATACCGATATGGCATATAACTATACCAACATGGTATACAATTTTACTAGTTAATTCCCGACAACTATATGTCTATACTACTATTACATAACACACATGTATAAAGAGAAAAATAAAAAAAATAGTGTACCACATATTAATATAATAAAGTATTTCAAGATATATATTTTTTTTTGGTAATTAGTCACCTGTAAAACTGTACAAACCATAGCATCGCTTACACAGTTAGCTATCTCATTACAAAAACTCATCTGCTATATCCTACCCTTCTCTAAATATTCATAAGAAAATATAACTATGGACTACATTTTGAATACTAGCAGTAGCTCTAACAGTACATGTGTACGCTATCTCTCGAGCAATACTATTCCAATCACGTGCCCTTTTTTCAAAGATTCTCAAATTTCTCCCAATCCAAATAGCATGAACTATTTCTGCATATACCAGTCTGAATATTCTTGCTTTTGTGGTCTTGCCTTTAGCATGCTGTATACTCCAGCCCATATGCTGCTCCCAGTTATGCTTCCTTATATAATCATGCTGCATCCATTGCATAAGCTTCATCCATATGTTCCTAGCAAAATCACACACGACAAACAAATGATCTCTATTCTCCTCATGGTTGTGACATAAAGAACATTGTGTATCCACTGTCAATCCCCACTTGATCAATCTATCTGTGGTTGGGAGTCTTCCATGTAATAGCATCCACATAGTATACTGTGCTTTTGACCTCGCACAGTTCTGAAATATTAGACATTTCCACGGCACTCGAGTTTGTTGTCCCAGCAGCTGAAAGTATATATGTCGAGTAGTAATAGTGACCTGTTTATTCCTCTGCACCAGATTGTGATCAGCTCTAGCATTGAAGATTTGTCTGAGCATCCAACAGGCTTTCTTGGGAGCTGGCATTTGCATGAATTGTTGCCCTTTGATATAATAAGAACGGATCCATTTAATCCACAGCCTATCTTGTTTTGCTTCCACATCCCAGCATATTTTTGCAATAGCTGCTCTATTCCATATATGAATATTCACCAAATTTAGACCGCCACAGGATTTAGGAGAGCACATCTTTTCCCAAGATATCAATGCCTTCTTAGTTATGGTATTGGTAGATGACCATATATAACTTCGACAATATGCATCAATAGTTTTAAGTACCTTGACTGGTAAGGGTAGAATCTAAGCCCAGTATGCTTGTACTCCAAAAATGACACTTTGAACTAGTTGTACTCTTCCTGCATATGATAGTTTCTTAGCTGTCCATGAGAATATTCTTGCTACTATTTTTTGAATGAGTGGCTGCCATTGGATCATTGATATCTTTTTTGTTGACAGGGGAATGCCTAGATATTTGAAAGGCATTTCCCCTTGTCCATACCCTAGATGCAGTAAGATTTTATCTCTTTCATCTCTTGGTACCCCTCCAAAATACACTGAACTCTTCCCCATATTTGCTTGCAGTCCTGAAGCTTGAACAAAGTGTTTGAAGCATCTGTGCATAGCCTTTACTAATGATAAGTCTCCTCTTGCAAATAGCAGTAGGTCATCAGCAAAACTTAAGTGTGTAATACCAAGTTTGGCACATTTTGGATGGTATCTGAACTCTTTGTCCTCCTTTAATCCATGAAGACTCCTACTGAGATATTCCATGGCAATGGCAAATAGGAAGGGTGATATGGGATCACCTTGCTTGAGCCCTTTTTTTGCATCAAAAGGGGTAGTAGTCTCTCCATTGATCAAGATAGTGTAATTGACTGTTTTGACACACTCCATGATCCAGCTGATGAATTGAACAGGGAAGCCCAAACTTTCCATTACCTGCTCCAAGTAGATCCATTCCACTGAGTCATAGGCTTTCTGTAAGTCTATCTTAATCATGCATCTATCTGAGCTGTGTTTCCTTGTGTAAGCTTTAACCAATTCATGAGCCATGATAATATTGTCTGCAATTCTCCTCCCAGGAATAAATCCTGCCTGATTTTCACAAATGATGCTAGCAATAACCTTCTGCATTCTTGCTGCTAGTATTTTGGAGATCATCTTATAGAGTAGAGTACAGCAAGCAATAGGTCTAAAGTCTTTCACTGTGACTGTCTTGTCCACCTTTGGAATTAGTGTGAGGGTAGTGCAATTAAGTGCCTTATACAGTCTCCCAGTACTAAAGAATTCCTTAACAGCTTCACAGATCTCCACTTTGATAACAGGCCATGTCTTCTTAAAAAAGCAAGCATTGTAACCATCTACTCCTGGAGCTTTGTCCTCCCCTATATTCTGCAGTCCTTCAAATATTTCTTGATCAGATATTTCTGCAAATAGTTGCCTTCTTTGCTGTTTGGATACCACATGCCCTTGCTTCATGATCTCCCTATTTATTGATGGTAGATTTATTGCTGCAGTCCCCATCAATGATTTGTAGAATTCAATGATTTCCTGTTTGATCTTATCAGTATCATTCAGCTTCTGACCATCTAGGGATGTGAGTTCTTTAATCTGCTTCCTTTGATTTCTCTCCTTCAACATAACAGAGAAGTATTTGGAGTTAGAATCCCCCAGCTTAATCCATTTTGCTCTAGACTTTTGCTTTAGGACACTTTCCTCTATAAGAGACCATTTTTCCAGCTGATGAAGGGCATTTTTCTCTTGCTCCAGCAGGCCATCAGTATAGTTAGTGTAATCCTCTCTTGTATCTCTTATAGTTCTTCACGAGCCCTATCAATCTTGTAAGCAATAGATCTAAACTCCTCATTATTTAAGGTTTTAAGTCTAGCTTTCAAGGTTTTCAATTTCAACCATATATTCTGCATTCTCCACTTTGTCACATTCTGCTCCCATACTTCTTGCACTATTTGTATAAACCTGCCATGATCTGCCCAAACATTTAGAAATTTGAATGGAATTTTGCCTAGCCTTGAATTCATGAATATTGAAAGGAGCATAGGTGAATGATCAGATATTTGAGGCAAATCATATTCATTTTGAACCTGTCCCCATTACATCATCCACTCAAAATTTCCAAACATCCTATCAATTCTGCTTCTGATTCTGTCAGTGCCATCTTGTTTGTTCGACCAAGTGTAGTGATAATAGGTGAATTTGACTATAATCACACCTTAAATAATCACCTTCTTGTGTAGTTTTAATGCTAAAAGTGATAACAAAATGCTCTTATTAGTGCTTTTCATGATTTGTAGGTGAAATATGTATAAGGAAGGCTAAGGAGCAGTTTTGGAGTTAAAAGTGATGAAAAAGAGGCCAACTGTGAAATTTCCCAAGTGAACCACGCAAAATAGGCCGAAGATTCAGAGCACTGGGTCCACCGCGGTTCCACCGCGACCGCGGCAGAACCGCGGTGGGAAGCAGCTGCAGAACCTTAGTGATTCCGCGAGGGTGTTTGGCCGCGGTTCTACCGCGACCGCGGTAGGCGCAGAAACTTCAAGGACCAAAGTGTCAATTACGGGATTTTTAGACCTAAACCCTATTTAAAATATTAGACTTCGCCCAAGAGAGGCATGTATTGATTTTTTAGGTTTCTTAGCAAGGAAAAAGATTGTGAGAAAATACTCTAAACATCTTTCTTCTTTTCTTTTGATTTTATGATGAATTCAATCTTAGTTTATTTTCCCATAGCCATGAGTAGCTAAATTCCTTGTCTAAGGCGTTGATGGAACCTATTGGGTGATGAACTTCTTGTTTATGTTAATACAAATTGCGAGTTTAATCTTTATTTGTTCAACTTCGTGTTCGTTGTAGTTAATTGACAGGATCCTCAATTAGCTGTGCCTATTTAGTGTGCATAACTTGGAAAAGAGTGCATATTTAGGGTATTGTTGAACAACACCACTCCTAAATTATTAGAGGAATCTATAATTGCGGGTTTAAAGGCGGGATTAGGAATAACGAAGCCTTGGGTGCAATCTAAATTGAATTGTGCTAAATAAAGCAAGCTAGTGTATCTCGGAAAAGTGCAATAGTAGATTACTGTGATTACTCGGGAGAGATTTGCGGCAAGATTAGCGTTCATGATTGATAGAGATGTGTGGGTAAATTTGTATGAGCATAAACAGAAGGAATTCCATCAATAGGGGAAATTATTGCCTTAGCTTTTTCTCATAATTGTTTACAACCCTTATTTTTTACTTAGTTACAGCCATTTAGTTATTTGCAAGCTAGTTATTAAAGAACACTCAACTGAGATTTGAATATTTGGGAAGCTGGTTCTGAAGACTTAGTGGGTCTGAAGATAGCGGTTGATATGTTAACTCTCTGTGGATTCGACCCTGGGCGTAATACTCGGGTTATATTTGCAACGTCCGCAGAGTCCTTTTTATAAGGCATAGTTGGGCGTGATCATGTAGTAATCACCCTTCCATAGCAATTCACTCAACTGTAGAGTTTGAATGCAGTTAGCAAAATCTTGAGTTTCAGTATATGTTATAGGATTGCCCATTAGTCTATCTTGGGAATATAGAACTGCATTGAAATCTCCTCCAATTAACCAAGGAGTGGTTATGTTTGCAGCCATTTTATGAACCTCTGCCCATAGTGCCTTCCTTTGCTCAATTGTGTTAAGTCCATAGACTACTGTTATTAGGCAGTCTATCTTTCCTACATTATCTGTAATTTGACAATGCACATATTGATCCCCAGCTTTGAGTAACTTCACACTATACCATCTTGGATCCTATAATACCCAGACCCTACCATTTTGAGCATATTGGTAGTTATTTATCCCTTCCCAATCAGGTGCAATAGCTTTAGTAACTCTCTTGAAATTGTGTTCTTTCACTCTGGTTTCCATTAGGCCAGCTATCTTGACATTTTTGCATTTGATATAGTTAGCCAATTCCTTCTGTTTATACCTCTTATTGACTCCCCTCACATTCCAGAATAGCCAATTAGTTAGCATGTTAGGTGTCCTCCTCCCCTATCTAGGGGTAATTGTTGCACATCCCCAGTTCCANTGTGCCCCGCCATTGAGAGAAAGTTAGATTTCCACCCTGATAATCTAGCTTTGAAATTATCTAATATGTACTGAAAATCATTTGAAGTTGGTTTTTTCACAAACAGCGGGAATCCAAGGTACTTACCAAAGAGGATACCCTCCCTCATGTTAAAAGATGTTAGGACAAAATTTTTGATTAATTGTGAAGTGTTTTTGGAGAAATATATTTTTGATTTTTTAAAGTTGATACTTTGGCCAGATTTTTGTGTAAGAATTATTAGCGTGTCAATTATAGTGTGTACAGTTGATGTACTTATTTTAGATGTTAAGGTGATATCATCTGCAAAAAGTAGATGAGATATTTGAGGTCCTTTGTTGGATAGCTTGATAGCTTTCCATTGTTGATAATCCACTAACTGGTGTATTTGTCTTGATAGTCTTTCCATACATAAGATGAAGATGTAAGGGATAATGGGTCACCTTGCCTAATGCTCCTTGATGGGTTTGAAAGAAGGTGAAGCGTGCCCATTAATAAGGATTGAAATGGAAGTAGTTGTAATACAAGGCATAATAAGAGAGATGATTTTATGAGGGAAATTAAAGAAATGTAAAGTTTCTTTAATAAATCCTCATTCCATTTTGTGGAAGGCTTTTTCAAGGTCTCATATCATCTTCAGAGTGAAATCTGATGACGTAATAACCTTCCTCATGAAGAAATACATCTGGTTCCCTCACACTTGCCCAATTAACATTTATATATCTTTTCATAGTGTTGTATCCTGGGGTATCTCCTAGAATGTATACAATTAAGGCACATTTCCACTTCTCAGTTTCAGATTCAACCTCTTCCTTATCCAATTGCACAATTACTTGACCATTGACAATTTCCAATGGAATATACGAGAGAGACATACCATTTGCTGCAGATCTGTTCTTCTGGAATAGATTAGACCATGTTTTAGGGCCGACATCTTTTGTCACTAAGGCTGGTTTCATCACTCCTTGTTCTTCCTCCGCAATTGTTACTGTTGCATTAGCTACTGTAGCATGCAGACCCTGATCCTTCATTTTTTCCTCCAATTGCACTTTTGACGCAGAAGCTGGAGGTGTTGTGAGATCTAACTTC